GTGGTGGGCCTTCTGAGTCAGCGCTGTCCTCGCTGACGGGGAGAGGGCAGAAAGCCGACGGGGGTCGTCAGTAATTATAATACTTCCTTACTCTTATCTAGTGCTTTTCTGATTGCTCCACTCCAAGCGCTTTACAGGTAATGGGGTCCCCTCCACCACCACCAGTGTGTGGCCCCACCTGGATGATGCACCAGTACACTCCACACACAGCAGCTCTCAGTGGGAAGGAGAGCAGAGTGATGGAGCCAGTTCAGAGAGGGGGATTAGTAGGAGGCCATGACTGGTAAGGGGCAGAGGAAAATTTGGCCAAGACACCAGGATAACATCGCTACTCTTTTCGAGAAACACCCTGGGATTTTTAATAACCACAGAGAGTCTGGACCACTGTTTTATGGTTCTTATCAGAAGAACAGCACCTTTATTACAGTATAGTGTCCCCGTCACTGTACTGGGGCATTAGGACCCACACAGACTGCAGGTTGAGCGCCTCCTACTGGTCCCACTAACACCTCTTCCAGCAGCAACCTCAGTTTTCCCAGGAGTCTCCCCTCCAGAGATGGATGCTGAGCGTCAGTGGGCTGCCAGCTGGGAGTTGCAGGGTGATATGGCTGCTAGTTGGCTCATCAGCGAACACACATCGCCTGTGGCAGGAGCGGTGTTTGTTTGTGGCTGCTCCTTTTTAGAGCTCGGTGTTGTGCAACAGTTGACGTCGCCTCTGCTCGCGCTGCGCCAATCTCTCTCCTCCCGCTGTCTCAGCCACCGTCTTCATCCCCCTCCCTGCTCCTCCTCTTCCTCCAATCTCTCTGTGCCCCCCTGAGTCTGGGGGTGGACCCTGCCTCTCCTCTCTGGTCTGATTCCATTTTGTTCCCCCCCCCCCAAACGTGGTGACCCCACACTGTGCCCAAGGAAGAGTTTGACACTCTTCCTTGTACCTGCACGCCATTTTTCAATGCGCCGCCCCCTGAAATCCATTCTGTGCTTTGACTCAATGTCCCGATTTTCTTCTGCTGCTTCCCCAGCTCCGAAACGTCTCCGAGTTGCCTCTTCCTGCTCGGTCCTGCGTGTATCGGGAGCCTCCCTGGTGTTCAGTGCTCACTGCCTCTCTCCAGGTGCAGGGTGTGCTCGCCGCTCCACGCTTGCCGGGCTGCGTTGCCGTGGGCCTGCTGCTGACCGGTGACGCTCCCTGTCCAGGCTGCAGGGGCGCGGCGATGGAGTCAGGCCGGACCCCGGGGGGCGCCGCGGGGGGGCCGTCCCGCGAGTACAAGCTGGTGATGCTGGGAGAGGGAGGCGTGGGTAAAAGTGGTGAGTACTGGGAGTGCTTTCTCTCCGTCTCTGTCCGGAGTGCTCTCGCACTCTCCCCTCACTCCGGCGCGTGAAGCCAGCAGAATTCTCTCATTCTCTTTTACTCTCCCTTACTCCCTGTCTGCCTCCACCTACTCCCTGTCTCTCTGTCTCTGTCTCTCTCTCTCTCCTGCTCTGGTCCTGTCTTCTTATCCTGTTACCTGTCTCTCTCTCTGTCTCCTGCTCTCCTCCTGTCTCCTTATCCTGTGTTCCCTGTCTCTCTCTCTCTGCGTCTCCTGCTCTGCTCCTGTCTCCTTATCCTGTTACCCGTCTCTCTCTCTCTGCGTCTCCTGCTCTGCTCCTGTCTCCTTATCCTCTGTGTTCCCTGTCTCTCTCTCTTCGTCTCCTGCTCTGCTCCTGTCTCCTTATCCTCTGTGTT